TAGAAAGTATAGATGGCTGTTAAGCATAGAGTCCTTAAATGCATTATTAAAAGCATATATTAACTTTCAATTTCTGAGATAATTTCAAAATAAATAGAATATTTTTTTTGGTAAATTTGCTCTCTAAATGTAGTAAGAGAAATAAAAAAGACACTTCTCAGATGTTTTCCTGTTTCGAAACTCTAAAACTTTAATGCTACACAACATTTCTTGTTCATATAAAAATTTCATCTTCTTTGAGTTATTATTTGATGAAAAATATAAGCAATGTTAGCGAGAGATTAATCCACAAGCTGGGGTGGTGAGCACACATGTCATCCCAGTACTTGGGAGGCTGAGGCAGAGAATAGTAAGAGTTCTAGAACAGTTCATGGACTACTAAAAAGACACAGTTTCAAAAGTGAACAAACAAAAAGTATCATTCTAGGATTAGAAAATTTTCATTATCTGCTTAAGTTCTTATTTGAAGGATGAGTGAGAAGAATTTATTAGACTTTAAGAGGAAAATACCTGTGAGTAATTTAAAAAAATATTGTTATTGCTTCTACTTTTTTTAATTGAAAACAGATTTTTTTTCTTATAATGTATTCTGATTATTGTTTTTCATCCCCAGACTCCTCCCAAGTCCTCCCTACTTTCCAGCTATCCACATCCATACTCTTTCTCTCTCTCATTAGAATTCAAACAAGCATATAATAATAATAATTAATAATGATGATAAATAAAAGCAAAACAAAATAGTACAAAAACAAAGAAACAGAAAAGTTCTTAACACTGTAAGGCTGATGAAGACGATACACAGATATCTGCATAACAGGTGCTTAAGTAATTTTGTCTGCAAAAAAACAGAGCATTTTAAACACAGCATTTTATCTTAATATGCCACAAGTCTACTCGATTCAATAAACAAAATCTTTATAGATACTACTTAGAATTTATTTTTCAAAATTGCACCTGACATAGAATACATTTCTCAGAATTTTACCTCCCTCTCAGTGGAAGAAGTATGAACAAGTGTAATAAAACGAGGAGAAAATCAAATGCCTAGATATCTTAGAGCACAGGGTTTTGGCATCAGCAGAGGCATTTTTAAACCTAGGTCTCTTTCGGTGTAAAGTGAGTTTGCACGTGGTAACTTTCAACCCTTTGTTTGGGTACTTATAAAATCTTTGTACTATATGTAGTACATTTATGTAGTATGTAGTATGTAGTACTACTATATGTAGTAAATTTAGCACTTAGTAAATAGTATATTGCGTGTGTCCACCAATGATGCCAGTTTAAAAGGAATTGACACCCCCAGGATTATCTTCATACTTTTGATTATGTACTATGCATTAAGGAGACCTAAGACATTTACAGAGATGCCAGTTTAAAAGGAATTGACACCCCCCAGGATTATCTTCATTGTTTTGATTACGTACTATGCATTAAGGAGACCTAGGACAATTATAGATGTTAGATTCAGAAGTTAATAGCTTTTTTTTTTTCTTTAAATCCAAATTGGGGTCAAAAGAAGTTTGTAAAATTATTAATTTACAAATATTTTACTACTAAGAAACAGAGAATCAAGACCCTACACCATTAGGAGGAAGAGGAGCTTATTTCCAGTCAGGCATGCTGATGTCATCATCTTAGGAGACCTCACTCTTCTGGCCAGAGCAAAATGGGCTTTAGCTTGAATACTGGGTTCTGTGAGAAATAAATAAGCAGAAGAGTTGCATATTCAGCACAAGCACGACCGGCTTGCTGATTTGTTGATACTTTTGTAAGCTATAAACTTAAATGTCACAAAATTTGTGTGTGTGCATGTGTGTGTGTGGTGTATATGTGTGTGTGTGCATGTACTTGTGTGTGTGTGTGTGTGTGTGTGTGTGTGTGTGTGTGATGTGTACATGTGCACGAGGAGGTACCCAGGAGGCTGTCTAGACTCTGCCTTATCATAATCTACAGCATTCTCTTGAGACTGGCTCTGTCACTGAAGAAACTAAAACTTGCTTTTGTGGAGCTAGACTGGCTGCCCAGCAAGCCAAAGCAATCCTCCTGTCTCTGTTCTCCACAGTGCTGGTGGGTAGAGGCCCTGGCCCAAGAACATCTTTTTTATGTGGATGCTGGGAATCAAACTTAGGTCCCCATTCTTCCACAGCAAGCAAGCTGTCTTTGCCTGTGAGCCATCCCCACAGCCCACAAAATTCTTTAGAGAAAATCTCAGTTTTGAAAACAGCAAGTAAGCAGCTCTCCTATGGGCTTTACGTGCTATTATTCACCACCCTACTTAGAATATTGTAACAGGGAACTAAAATACTAAATATCCTTGGCCAGGCGTGGTGGCACAAACCTTTAATCCCAGCACTTGGGAGGCAGAGACAGGCAAATTTCTGTGAGTTCCAGGCCAGCCTGGTCTATAGAGTAAGTTCCAGTACAGCCAGGGCTACACACAGAGAGAGCTTATCTCATAAAAATAAACCAAAACCAAGCTGTTTTCAGGACTATAGCTCTATAAATAGAGTTTAAAGTCAGGGATGATGATGTCCCCAGAAGTTCCTTTATTGTACAGGGCTGTTTTGGCTATCCTGGGTCTTTTGTTTTTCCACATAAAGTTGAGAATTGTTCTTTCAGGTTTGTGAAGAATTATGCTGGGATTTTGATGGGGATTGCATTGAACCTGTAGATTGTTTTTTGCAAGATTACCATTCTTACTGTGTTGATCCTAGCTATCCTAGAGCATGGGAGATCTTTCCATTTTGTGGTATTTTTTAAATTTCTTTCTTGAAAGACTCAAAGTTCTTATTATATAGGTCTTTCACTTCTTTGGTACCCCAAAGATATTTTATGCTGTTTGTGGCTATTGTAAAGGGTGATTTTTCTCTGAGCAATAGTGGAGAGGCTATCTTTAATGCCCTTCTGTGATAATGAGATTGGCGACTACCTTATCCACCATCCTAGAGCCTTCATCCAGTAGCTGATGGAAGAGAAGCAGACACCCATGGCTAAACACTAGCCAAACTCCTAGATTCCAGTTACAGAGAGGGAGGAGTGATGAGCAAAGGGGTTAAGACCAGGCTGGAGAAACCCATAGAATCAGCTGACCTGAACAAAGGGGAGCTCATGCACCTCAGTCTGATAGCTGGGAAACCAAAATAAGACCAACCCAGACCCCATGAACGTGGGTGTTAGTTAGGAGGCCTGGGCAGTCTATGTGGCCTCTAGTAATGGATCAGTATTTATCTTTAGTATACAAACAGACTTTGGGAGCCTATCCCACAGAGAGGAATACTTTCTCAGCCTAGACACATGGCTCTGCCCCAAATGATATGACAGACTTTGAAGACTCTCCATGGAAGGCCTCATCCTCCCTGGGGAGCAGAAAAGGGATGGGCTGGAGTTTGGTGGGGGTGATAGGGGAGGATAGGAGAGTGAGGGAAGTGGGATTGACATGTAAAACAACCTTATTTCAAATTTAAATAAAAAGTAAAAAAAGAAACCCAACTATATGTTTAAATGTTCCAACTCCTTACTTAATTACAATAAATGTACAGTAAAAGTTTTAAGGATAATTGATTACTATAGTAATTAATAATGATTTTATAATAGTAGCACCTCTAAAATTTTGGTATTTATATATTGAGGACTTTTAATCTCAGTTGTGATTTCTTGTTTATTTTGGTTTATAAACATTTACAAGAATTTATTTAATTTTCTCTCACATTCCAGATTGTCTATATAAAGCCCACTAGTGCAGAAGTCACTGGGGTTAAACTTGTAGCAAACTTTCTAACAGCTATCTTTTCTAAATTGTACTAAAAACATAAACGTTATCCTTTTTCAGACAAATCCAGCTCTAGGGTTAAGCATATTTACATTATTGTGTGAAATAGGGTTTGTGTTTGACAAAACTGATACATTATGTCCATTCAGCAACTCCACATTCCCGTTGATTTCTTGTCCCTAGCATGCACTTTCCTACTTTGGCATCAGTGGCTCTGATTGCTCCTGAGCAGGTTATACAATAGGTATCCTTCATGACCAGCCACTAGATCAAGTACAGTCCACTTCAGGGGCACCAGTGTGCTCGAATACACCACCACTTCCTTCCCTTTAAGGCCGTGTAATATTCCAATGTGAGTGTAAACCCTACCTCACTTATATTCTTTACCTACTGATGGAAACATGCGGGATAACAGTTTACAAAGCTTTGCATCTCTCAACCTCCTCCCCAACACTTCCTGTTGACTTAAAAAAAAAAAAAGTAGTAACTGCCACCTTTAACTGCACAGTTAATTGGCATCTTCCTAATGAC